ATTATATACTAATAATATAGTAGTAGAAGTAGCGTTAGCAGTGCCAGTAGACCAGTATGGTATAGTGGTTAAGAGCAGTGGACCAGGTTTGCGTCTCCGCTCCTCCACATGCAGCTGCTGGGTGACCTTGGGCCAGTCACACTTCTCTGAAGTCTCTCAGTCTCACTCACCTCACAGAGTGTTTGTTGTGGGGGAGGAAGGGAAAGGAGATTGTTAGCCGCTTTGGGACTCCTTAGGGTAGTGATAAAGCGGGATATCAAATCCAAATTCTTCTTCTTCTTCTTCTTCTTCTTCTTCTTCTTCTTCTTCTTCTGTAGATTAGTAGTCAAATTTGTACCAAATCTGGTACATTACTACCAAATATGGCAACAATGTGTTGCCTGGAAATTCAGCTTAAGAATTGCTAGCAAATAATTAAAGGAGCAAACACAACATACCCTCCAACATTTCTCCGATAAAAATAGGGACGTCCCATTCCCTATTCCATTCCAGAATGATAATTTTACTATTTATACACATCTTACTGGGTTGCCCCAGCCACTCTTCCAGCATCTACAAAAACATAATAAAGCATTAAACATTTTTAAAAACCCTTCGCTATACAGGATTGCCTTCAGATGGCTTGGGGATCAGATAACTCCATACCCTCCTACATTTACCCATTGAAAATAGGGACAGCCTAAGGAAAAGTGGGACATTCTGGGATCAAATCAGAAACCAGGACAGCTTCTCTAAATCAGGGACGTCCCTGGAAAATAGGGACACTTGGAGGGTCAGACACAGATCAATGCAAGTGATGTAATCTTTAGACCTCACTTCGAAGAAATAAAGGTAACATACGTGACTGCTTCACCCACCACCTCTTTTATCCTCAGTGTGAAAGAATAAAGGTGGCCCAATAATTCTTGAGCCTCATGAATGAATGGGGATTTTAAGACAGATCCCTTCAGCCGTCATAATCCAACACTGGCCCCATGTCCACTATGCTTTTAAACATTATTGGACCACTTTAAACAATCATGACTTCCTCTCCCCACAAAGAATCCTGGGAACTGTTAGAGGAAGCTGTTCCCTTGCTCAGAGCTACAAATCCCAGTGTTTTTCTGTGAAAAGCAGTTGACTGCTAAACCACCCTGAGAATGGCAGCTTCTTCGGGGGAAGCAGTGACTGTTTAAAGTGGTGTGAAGTGATAACTGCTTTAAGTGCAGAGTGCAAATGGGGCCTCTAGCCACTACGCAACACTGCCTATTTATTCCTTTGCTGTATCAATCCATACTGCAAGTAGAGCTGGTTCAAATATTGGCACGTTCCCCACACGAAACACCCCTCCACACATACAGTCACCTGACACACACAACTAGCATGCCAGGAGACAATTGCAGGCTAGCCTTTTTCCGTTTCCTTTTAAAAAAAAATACTGCACCGCTTAGGTCTTGCCTTAAAGAGAATAATTCTTTAAGCCTTAAGGGTTTGCAGTTTGCTTCCCTGTTTCTTACATGGCTTCATTTGTTTTTGAACTGCTGAAGTGCCTGTTTGTCATGCCTTTAAGTGCTCCTTTTAGTTTCATCTTGTTTCTGCAAATATTCCCTCAAGCAAATATTAATATTTCCAAACAGGCGAATGACACCAGCTCTGTCCACATCTGCAAGGGAGCGTATATCCCATGGCTCCCCAGGTGCCTGCACTTATCAAACCACTACCAATAAACCATAGGTGAGAGGCTACAGGGCATGGAGATTGAACGAAGAAGCAAAGCAACAAATCTCATTACACCACAGGAATGGCCTTTTGCTTCAGAAACACTATTTGCTGCTTTTGCAGTGTTTCTCCAAAACCTTCATGGAAAAAACAATAGTCTGATCATCATCATTCTCTTGTTCCTTAACTGTCCAACTTTCAGAGAGCCAAAGTGTTTTGTCTTTTAAGCATCCTGTAAAAATGTCTGTGGCCACATTCAAACCGTACATTCAAAGTGCTATGATACCATTTTAAACACACATGGCTTCCCTCAGAGAATTCTGGGAGCTGCAATTTTGCTAAGGGTACTGAGAGTGGTTAGGAAGCCCCTATTCTGCTCACAAATCTAAAATTCCCAGAGTTCCTAGAGAAGGACTGTTAAACCACTCTGCAAATTGTAGCTCGGGGAGGGGAATAGGGGTATCCTAACATCTCTCATGGTTGGACAGTGTTCTCGAAGCTACAAACATGAGTCTGACCAAACTGCAGGAGGCAGTGGAAGACAGGAGTGCCTGGCGTGCTCTGGTCCATGGGGTCACGAAGAGTCAGACACGACTAAACGACTAAACAACAACAACAGCAACAAACATCTCTCAGTGGGACGCGGGTGGCGCTGTGGGTTAAACTACAGAACCTAGGACTTGCTGATCAGAAGGTCAGCGGTTCAAATCCCCACGACGGGGTGAGCTCCCATTGCTCGGTCCCTGCTCCTGCCCACCTAGCAGTTCGAAAGCACATCAAAGTGCAAGTAGATAAATAGGTACCGCTCCGGTGGGAAGGTAAACGGCGTTTCCGTGCGCTGCTCTGGTTTTGCCAGAAGTGGCTTAATCATGCTGGCCACGTGACCTGGAAGCTGTACGCCGGCTCCCTCGGCCAATAAAGCAAGATGAGTGCCGCAACCCCAGAGTCGGTCATGACTGGACCTAATGGTCAGGGGTCCCTTTACCTTTAACATCTCTCAGCACCCTTAACAAACTACAGCTCCCATAAGTCTTTGGGGGAACCCATGGCTTTTTATAAAGTGGTATCGTAGCACTTTAAATGCATGGTGTGAATGTGACCCGAGAGCTTCTTCCAACAGTGAGAAAAGGCATATTTCACTTATGCTCAATCATGTTTTTTTACATGGGTGGAAAGCTATCTAGAAGTATACGCGGCACCTCTGGCAAGCATGCCCACTTTTCAAAAGGCAGATAGTAAATGTGTGTGTTCTTCCTCCTGCGTCTGATCAGGAGCCCACTGCCAGCATGGAGAGGAAGGATAAAATGGAACCGTGCCAAATTTGCTACTATAAAACCTCTACAGTCAATTTAAATGAATGGGCCAAAGGAGCTATTTCTAGATTAAAGCAACAGAAAAAGGAGGAGTTGTAGGAAACAAAACTCGCCCATCTCAAGTAGCAAAAATCCTTTCAACCACCCTAGATGGGGTGCACCATGCATAAGCGTCAATGGGCATCTAGCTAAAATGCATAGCAGAAAATGCTCCTTGCAAATGGTGTTGTGAAAAATTGATAAGTTTTGGCGCCATTCCAATACCGTTTGTGATACTCTCTCTTTTGGGGATTGCTAAATGAAGATTTAATGCCTCCAGTTATGCAAACACTTTCAACCCGCGAAGTAAGTTTTTTCCTCCCTCCGCCCTCAGCAAGAGGATGCTCACTAGCAAGAATCCTGCTGAAGTCCAGCTCATGGCTCAAAGGCTTGTGAGGAGAAGCTTGTTTCTGCATTTTCATGTTTGACGCTGCCCACTGACATGCTAAGAGTGAATATCAAGGGGGAGGATGGGAGGGTGCAAATGACTGTTGCAGCCAGAGAAAATGAAATCTACTGAACCACGAGGCCTATGATTCCCAGATATTAACAATCATTCCCTCTCCCCAGGGAGCTCTTGAAATTGTGGCACTGCGAAGGGAATAGGGGTCTCCTAACAAATCTCCTAACAAATCTCTCTTTGAATTATGGTGCTGGAGGAGACTCTTGAGAGTCCCATGGACTGCAAGAAGATCAAACCTATCCATTCTTAAGGAAATCAGCACTGAGTGCTCACTGGAAGGACAGATCGTGAAGCTGAGGCTCCAATACTTTGGCCACCTCATGAGAAGAGAAGACTCCCTGGAAAAGACCCTGATGTTGGGAAAGATGGAGGGCACAAGGAGAAGGGGACGACAGAGGATGAGATGGTTGGATAGTGTTCTCGAAGCTACCAGCATGAGTTTGACCAAACTGTGGGAGGCAGTGGAAGACAGGAGTGCCTGGTGTGCTCTGGTCCATGGGGTCACGAAGAGTCGGACACGACTAAACGACTAAACAACAACAACACATCTCAGCATCCTTAACCAACTAGAGTTCCCAGATTTGTTTATTTTGTTTTTTTAGGAAGCCATAACTGTCTAAGGTGGTATCATAGTATTTTAAATGTACTGTGCAAATATGGTCTTAGGTCAGGCAATAGGACTTTTTGGACTCCTGTCCTGATCCAGCAGGAAACTTATTCCCATTTTACAGATGTGGAAATGAAGATTGAGATGTAGTACTTTGCAAATGAACTTATCATAAGCCTAAATCAGAGATAACAAGATCTGAAACACAAGACCAATGCTCTATCCAATGCTCTAGCTCTTCTCTCACTGACACAATTAAGAAAGTTGTGCTCGTAATTCCTGGCATAGCGTAGTCACTGAAATTGCCAACAACAGGGCAAGAGAAACAAGACCCTTTTGGGGTGTTAATGCTGTGAACCCCTCCATCCTAGTGCCAGGTTGTAAATATGTGCATATATCATAAAGACACCACAGTCTCCGCTGTCCCAAAAGGAAACACGAACCCTGCCAAGCGCCTGGAACCCCAGCAATTTCATGCTGCTCAGAGATTGGGGTGTGTGCAACAATATCAACAGGACTTTCACTTTGGGGTGGGTGCATAGACTGTATATTTAGGCATGACAAGTATTATTATTATTATTATTATTATTATTATTATTATTATCATTATTATTTATATACCACCCTATAGCCTATACTTGCTAAAACAGTGCTTGGAAAGCTGGGTATTTGACTTATAGCTGCTAAAGGCACAGAGCCTACAGGAGGAAAACTGTAGCAAGCCTAGAGACGTGAGACTCATTAAAACCTCACCAAAAAAAAATTATCTCTTGTAATACTTTCGGGATTGAATCTATTGGTTCTTCTACAGATATCACCATGATGTCTGCAAATGCTTTTAATTTATATTGTCTCTGTCCTCCTCTTATGCCTTTAATACCTTTATTATTTCTTCTTCCTCTTCTTCTTCTTCTTCTTCTTCTTCTTCTTCTTCTTCTTCTTCTTCTTCTTGTCTAGTCTTGAGTATCCCCAGTGGTATTTTTGGTTGCAAAATACGCCTTGGCAACTCATTCCATTGCTTAACTCCTCTAATGAGTGGGTGAATTGTCTGGAATCAGAGGTCTGGCAAGTTTTTCAAGCCTTTGTTTGTTTAAAACTAGCGTTCAGAATCTGTATTGGAAACTGTTCCCATTAACAGGGCTTGAATTTGAGATGGATTTCTCTCAACCTCAAAACCAACTGTTGTTGTTTTTTGGCGGGGGGAATCAAACTTCGATCATGGAGAACAGGAGTTGAACAAGTAGATCCTGCAATGGAATGTTGCAGTGTGACATACCCCTTCTTGATGAATCTCCCTCTTTCAGAACACTCCATTCCATTCCCCCTTTCACCCAGTTTTCTGTATGTCCCTCCACCACACACAGAGAAAGTCACACCTTACCTTCCACTCTGCATCCAGTGCACTCTCACTGCTAGTTTTCAAAGCTATGTACAAAGGCGTTAGTTGCAATTCATATCTGTCCTGATGTTGCCTGACAAATGTTTCTGTTTGATGTGTTTTCCCTCAAACCAGCTTCCATCCCAATCGAAAACTGAAAACACATTCACTTTGTAGTTAAGCTGAGGTGTGCATACAGTTGAGACAGCCGCTGTGCGTGTGCAGATGATGGCTTGGAGTTGAGAGGGGGGGTTGCATCCCCACCACCTCTCCTCCTACTGGTGTGGACAGGCAGTGGGTAATTGAGAACTACATCAGACCTTACAACACCGTCTAAATGAGACTTGAAATGCAGAGGGGAGAATGCAACCTCACTGCTTTTTAAACTGCTCCTGTGCACACAACCTCAGTCAACATTCCACAACCACTGATCATGCCCAGTCCTTCGACAGTTTGGGAAATCACACACACTTTGAGGATTTTTTTTGTACTTCTGTAAGCTATGCAGTTCATCCTCTTGTGAATGGGCGATGCCATTTTGGCAACTTAAATAATGGCACTCAAGACTAAATAGCAAAAGTAGTGAGAAGAATTCTATCATAGTGCTATAGGTTTGGGAGGGTCAATTGAGATGATACTTGCTGGTCCCTTCCAAACCTAAGATCCTGTATCTGTGGGGTTAGAATCTATGAGGAAACCTGATGAACCAGCCCAATAAGTTTATTGGTTAAGCCAATGTCCTAAACTGGCCAGTTAACTAAAGTACCACTGTTTACATTTCTAAACATGTTGCTCTATTTCCATAGAGACAACTGGGTGGGCCTTTTCCCTGCCCCCATATCTGGCTGGATGCCGCATCATCCTAGGATAGAGAACAATAGGCCATGGGGAGCTCTGTGAGAGAGACAGTTTTGCCTGATTCTGGATGCTGAAAGCTGGAAACACATGCTCTGTTCTGCAACCAATGCTGTGGTCTTCCTGGAAACCTAATAGGCAGGCAAGATCTGTTGGAGCATTACTGGTTGTGAGCCTTTTCAGCCTCTGTTCAGGTTGTATATACAGGTTAAGGTTGTATATACCTGAAACCGTTCTTAACATGAGGCGTGCTTTCACCAATGGGGCTTCCCGCTGCCGCCACACCACCAGCATGTGACTTCTGCTCACATCCCGCTACCAGGAGCATCTACTTCCGGGTTAGCAGAGCTCGTAACCTGAATCATTCATTAGGAGGATGGTACATAACCCGAGGTTCCACTGTATGTGCAAATAAAACCATGTATCCTAAAGATTCCCCTGACTTATATTCCAAGGAAACAGAACCCTAGGTAAACATTGGAAGCCCTGGCGCCTCCCACCGCTCAGAGATCGGGGTGCACACAACAATTGATATTTCCTGCTATAGAAGAGAAATCACTCAGCGTTTGCTAGGCTATATTCAAAGGATCAGAATTATGACTGTTTGTTTTCGAACCTTCCAGCCCTCCTTTCAAAAGAATTTCCCACTACACCACTGTGCCAGGGCCTTAAGACCAGCCTGAGTGGCCTTCTTCATGGGTCCATCATCAAGATGCACCAGGTTGGTGGGCATCAGAGACAAAGATTTTTGGGTGGCACTGACGTTTTTGGAACTCCCTCTCAAGGAGGGCACATATGTTCCTAACTGGCCAGTGTTTAAATGGAGACCCTTCCTTTTTATCTAATGTCTGGAGTGCTCTCCTGGTTCCTTTGTTTTCTTCATCCGTCACTGATCTAATTCTTTATATTGAGCTGCTTTTAATTGCCCTGCATAGTGCCCTGCATTGTTTTAAATTGCTGCTGCTGTGCCAGCGCTTGCATACTTTAGTATGAACTGTGCTTTATATGTGCTCTATTTATGAGGATGAATTATAGAGGGTTGTTAGAGGTTCCTGGGAGGCTTAGCCAGAAGATGGTGTCGAAATAAATGAAGAACATTGCCACCCACCATAATTGCAATGGTGGGGAAACCTGAAGAAAGACTTCTAACTATGATCTCAGCAACCAAGCAGGTTCAAATGAACCAGACAGCCCATCTACTGCTGCTATCCCAAGCTATAAAGAGGTTTAAAGGGTAATCATTGGCACCTTGGATTGGACCCAGATATAGATATAGTGAAGTTGTTCTAGTGCAGTACAGGGAAAATATGCTCCCAGCTCATGGAATAAAGAGATCTTATCAGGATGGCTTTGGCTACAGCAGTGTTGCACAATTAGTAAGAAGAACAAACCTCTTTGTGCTCCTTGTATCTGGAACACCACCTTCTACAACGGTGGTGAAGAAACCTTTTCAGTCCAAGGGATTGTGTTCCCTTCAGGACAAACTCTTGAGGGCCACTTGCCAGAGGGAGGTGGTGTCAAAGGCAAAATATGGCAGAGCAAGAAATGTAACTGTTTGCATTTGTACAGTTGGCTAACTTCTACACACACTAATCCATATCTCTCTCTCTTTCTCCTCCATGTAGACAAGGAAGAGGCAGGCATGATAAGAGTTCAAGTGAGGTTCATAGAATTCATAGAATCATAGAGCTGATAGGGACCACATGGGTCATCGAGTCCAACTCCCTGAAATGCAAGAATATTTCACCCAACATGGGGCTCGAACCCACAACCCTGAGATTAAGAGTCTCACGCTCCAGCAACTGAGCTCTCACTAAAAACATTCAGGGTGAAAAACAAGGCCAGGGAGGAATGTGGCCTGGGCAGAGGGGTTGTGAGGGCCTCACTTGATACACACACCCAGCCTGAGGTTTCCTACCCCATTGTACAGAGTTGAACATTTGGCAGTGGCCAATTTGCAACCTGGGTCACAGAGATGGGTTTTTGGCTGAGATACTGAATTCTGCTTCCAATTCCTGGTTATGAACATCTTTCACTGTCCAGATAAATAGGTACCGCTCCGGCAGGAAGGTAAACGGCATTTCCGTGTGCTGCTCTGGTTCACCAGAAGCGGCTTAGTCATGCTGGCCACATGACCCAGAAGCTGTACGCCGGCTCCCTCGGCCAGTAAAGTGAGATGAGCGCCGCAACCCCAGAGTCGGTCATGACTGGACCTAATGGTCAGGGGTCCTTTCCCTTTCCCTTTCCCTTTACCTTTATGATGACTATGCTTTGCCTTCACAGTTGAAGACAGTAATGCTTCTGAGTACCAATTGCTGGAAACTGGGGGAAGAGACAGTGGTCTTGTGCTTGGGTCCTGCCTGTAGGATCTGGGTGGCCACTATGAAAACACTGTGAAAACTAGATGGACCGTTGACCTGATCAAGCAGGCTCTTCTTATCTTCTTATATGCTATCAGAGTCCAGCCAATGTGACCAATAGAGAGGGATGATAGAAGCTTTAGTCCAGAGAGATCTGGGGGGGTCAGTTTACCCACCCTGATTTACAGGAATATTATATACACTTCCCATTCTGCAATGAGCAGGAGAGCCCTTATTGTCTGTTTTGCTTAACAGCGGAGCAAAGAGGGTATGCAGTGAAATTAAAATGGAGCTTGAAAGGCCTGTGGGCAGAGAGGAACTCCCTAGTCAGAAAAGCAGGGAGTGGCCAGTTATATAGACAAGTGGTAAATAGACAGCAAATTCCTGGAAGACGGGAATGTCAACTACAGCTAGGAGACATGGGAGGGATTGCAAAGGTGTTTCCAACTAAAGCTTTGCAAGTCAGGAACTGGACAGCCTGCAGTCTACAGCAGCTTTCCCCAACTGGGTGCCCTCCAAATGTTTCCAACTACAACTCCCATCAGTCTCAGCTAGCCTGGCCAACGACCTGAGATGATGGAAGACATGGTCCAAAACACTTGGAGGGCACCAGCTGGGGAAGGCTGACCTACAGCCCAATCAATCCTTTTTGTGGCAAGCAAAAGGGTGGTACACATTATGCTCAACATGCCCACAAAGATTTTCCTTTGAGCTCTTGCGGATTTCAAGAATTACACTCTCTTCTCCTTAGGTCTTCATCCAGGGGTAACCTATATTTGATGCCTTCCAGATGTTCTTGCTTGCAACTCTTATCAGTCCCAGCCAGCAGGATCAAAGCTCGAGGTGATGGGACTTCTAGTCCAACAACATCTGTGGAGCACCATGTTGGCTATCCCTGAATGACTGAATTACACAAAACAGGTGAGCCATTCATTGGAAGCTGCTTCACACCAGGCCAGGCAATTTGTACATTGAGCCCTGGAGGGTCTACATTGCCTGGCTGAGGATTGAACCTGCAGCCTTCTGTGGATCCTCTGTTGCTGAGCTATGGCCCTGCCCAGTCATACAGCCTGGAGCCACAATAAGGAACTGAAAAGCAGCCCTGCTGCAGAAGTGTGTGTTTCTTCTCAAGGCAATATTAACTAGGGTTGCCATATTTCAAGAAGTAAAAACTAGGACACCCCAAGAGTTGCTGAGCTTTTTTAGGAAGACCCCAAAATTGTTGAGCCTTTTTATTAAAGAAAACCGCAAAGTTTTTGAGCTTTGTTTTACAAAAACACCAAGACAACACAATTCTTTTGATTGACTTGCCTAAGATCCAGGCAAAGCACCACCTTTTGGAAATTGTCCCCAAACGTCAATTCCGCCTTTGAAATCCTGGTAATGTCTGGGATATGGACATTAGGGATATGCCCTAATATTAACAGTACATATTTTATGCAAATCTGTGCCCCTTTTTGTCCTCTTTTGGGGTAAAATGCATGTCATCTTAAGCGATGTATAAGCGGCTACTCTCCGTTGCTTCCTTCCCACTCCAAAGGTACATGTGGAGTGGAAGAGTTGAAAATGCATTAGGCTAGACACACATCTGTTCTTCTTCAAAATCAAGGGAGACTCTCTCCAGCACAGCCTTGAATATCCTAGTGGGCAGCGGCTCTGCATCCAGCTGTTCCGCAAGGCTGTCCCATGACTACAACTTATTATTGAACCAGGCAAGACAAGGTTGGAGGTGGGGGCAGGGGGAGCAACGCAGCTAGTCTTGGGCTGGCCCAGAGACATTTCCACTCGAAGCTTCATGTTCTTTCCAAATAGACACTTGGCTGAGAACTCTGTTCAGCAGCCTCCTCTTGCAAAGCATCCATCATGCTGAAGAGTGTGTAGGTGATCAAGACATATCATGTGAATCGATCGTATTATCAGGCGAGGTTTCCAGACACCCAATTAAGCAACAACAAGATTGCATCGGGGGGGATAATTTGAGTAAGACATCACCCCTTTGGGGCACAAAGAAACAGCTATTGCCACCCCCTTCTTGGAAAAAGTCCCACTAATGTGATGAAATGTATTGCATCACCATATTTACCCAATAGATTATTGACTTGCCTTCCTTTGATTGCTGGAAATTGTCAATTACTGCTACACGATCATTTGAATTCCAAGGTTCACACAGCTTGTGGTTGTTGATTGTTGCTTTCCTTAAGCAACTGGTGCCTCGTGCAAACTCAGTCAGTTTGACATGAAATTTATGGAATCAGACAGCAGATAAATGTTTTAGATGGTTCCGTTGGCAAGCATCAGTCAGCATATTTAATAAGGAACCAGGGGACGGTGCTTGCAAACACAGACTATCGATGTTGCTATGAGCTAACATTGTTTATCCTAATAAGGGGGCAGGGAGAAAGCAAGAGCGACATAATTTGCAAACTTATTTCATGTTACTCTTTGTAAGACATTTGTGAGAGCATTTTCGTTCTTTACCATTTCCTCCACCAGATACTCAGATCTGTTTTTGTGATTCATTGTACAATCAACTTGTGCTGGAGCTCTAAGGGCCTGAGTCTGGGCTCCCAGCAAGTCGCTGGAGGACATGGAACCCTGCATAGGGGCCAATTAACACAAACAAATTAGCACATGGAGAATGCGAACCCAAATGAACCACCCATGCAGAAATTTTCACAGCACAAAAACTCGCCAGAGTCAGCGAACCTGCCTTATTGGTCAAATGAACATGATATAGTTAAAGGACTCTCATGGCACTTGGAGAACCCTGGAAATGGTGGTTTGTTTAGGGTGCTACAAACTGTAGCTCTGTGGGGCCATACTTTAAATATTTGGTGTGAATGTGAAATAAATTGAATCAGGTCATTTACCCATCTAGTAAAGCTTTTGCCAACTTCAACCTCATTTGTTTGTAGAGGTTACAGTGAGCATTTGTCCCCCATTTTTCCCAATGAGCTGGCAGGGTGCACATTCCACATTCTTTAATGCATTTCCCATAACTTTCCTTACTGCAAAAGTCTTGATTTTGTGTGTGTGTTTAATGTATTTGTTTTGCTAGGGCAGGGCTGGGGGTCCTTGGGCCCTCCAGACATTGGTGGACCCAGCCAGCATGGCCAATGGTTTGGAATGATGGGAGTTTTAGTCCGGCAGCATGCAAAGGGACAAGCGTTCCCCAGCCCCAAGCTAGGGCAACAGAGAATGCTAATCCACTTTAATGGTGGATTAAATTTCCCAGGATGCACTTGCATCCCTCCCCTCAAAATGTTGAGGGTCTGCAGGTGCCCAAAAAAAGACTCCCCAAATTCAAATTCAAAACCTGACTCTGAATTAATTGCTTTTGGCAGGAGTGAGGAACCTATGGTCAAATATAGTCCATAGCCTAATTTTATGTTGGCTGGGGGGAGCCTGGAAGGACAAAAGGAGGGGAAAGTGGTAAAAAGAGACTAGCAGGGTGGAAAGCAGGGAGAGTAGCAGCAGGGGAGCCAAAGCCAATAACAGACAGAGCCAAATAATGCTAAGTTTGTCCCCAACCCACTGGTGGTGGAAGAGGAGTGCGGGAGGAACGCACTGCCCCCAGCAGTGCGATCCTGGTGGGGTGCCATCGCGGCTGTGCCCCCGCCTGCACTGGGCGCAAGGCCCCGCAGGCAGCGTGCTATGCCCCTAGGATGCGCGCCAGCCCTGCCCCACCTGCTCTCTGCCCCCCCCCCGGTACCGGAGCATGAAGCTCCACCACTGCCACAACCTTCTCTTTATTGCCTTTTACAACCTTGATGGCAGAAAGTGAGGTGGAATTAAAGAACCTTTTAATGAGGATGAAAGAGGAGAGCGCAAAATATGGTCTGAAGCTCAACATCAAAAAAACAAAGATCATGGCCACTGGGCCCATCACCTCCTAGCAAATAGAAGGGGAAGAAATGGAGGCAGTGAGAAATTTTACTTTCTTGGCCTCCATGATCACTGCAGATGGTGACAGCAGTCATGAAATTAAAAGATGCCTGCTTCTTGGGAGAAAGGCGATGACAAACCTAGACAGCATCTTAAAAAGCAGAGACATCACCTTGCCAACAAAGGTCCGTATAGTTAAAGCCATGGTTTCCCAGTAGTGATGTATGGAAGTGAGAGCTGGACCATAAAGAAGGCTGATCGCCGAAGAATTGATGCTTTTGAATTATGGTGCTGGAGGAGACTCTTGAGAGTCCCATGGACTGCAAGAAGATCAAACCTATCCATTCTTAAGGAAATCAGCCCTGAGTGCTTACTGGAAGGACAGATCCTGAAGCTTTGGCCACCTCATGAGAAGAGAAGACTCCCTGGAAAAGACCCTGGTGCTGGGAAAGATTGAGGGCACAAGGAGAAGGGGACAACAGAGGATGAGATGGTTGGACAGTGTTCTCAAAGCTACCAGCATGAGTTTGACCAAACTGCGGGAGGCAGTGGAAGACAGGAGGGC